CCTCTCCTCCCTCTCCCCCACCAATCAGTTGGCATCCTTCTGTACCAGATTTAAAAAAGAAGAAAAAAAAAAAGCTAGGAGCCATAATCTACTTCACCTATTAAACACCAAAATGAGATTATTTTCCATCCTCCTTGAGCCTCTGAAAACCAGTTAACCAAATAGCAAATGGGTCTCCCTCCTGAGTGCATTTTTTTAGTCTTAAGGCTAAAATGATGATGCATTACCAAAGTAGGTCCATTAACATTTTGTCAGAGATTTGAAAATAGTATAATGAAATCACACTCAGACACCTAATAGGTAGAGTGGGAATAAATGCTGTCTCCTGAATACGTCAATATTTATCTGTGCTATTTTTTATATCCATTATCTTGTTGCCTGTTCTTTTCAGGAAGTATCAGTGGTCACTCTAATAAGTGCCATTCTTCTTCCTGAACATTTAAGGGACTGTTTTTTTTGTCTACTCCCATATGTGCTGTTCTGAACGAACTGGCAGTAACTTAATTCGTGTCCCGACGAGCAGGAATGTTGCATTTCTCTGGGGACAACTAGTAGCAGCACATGTTTGTGCTGTTAGTTGTCTCTTGGGAACACCCCTGCACATTTGCTCTGGCAAGTTGCCCTGGGTTGGGTAGGGGAGGCTGGGGCCAGCACCTGGGCTGGGGCCAGCAGCCTTACTTGGGTCCTGGGGGTCTACCAGGGCTACAGCAGCGGCGATCGGGGCATGTCGATCCTAGCCTGCAGCTAAAGCATGGCTCCAGCCAGCCAGGCTCTAGTTTTGAGCAATGCACACTGCCACGACGTACGCCATCCCACTTTTTTTAGGTGCTTTTTTTTACACCGGGATCTCCCACTGTCAAAAATCCCCCACTGCACTGCAAATTAGCAGCACAGTGAATGCGTACGTGTGCAGTGCATGCAGTTTGCAGCATCGCTGGCAGGTTTGCAGTGCCACAAACCTCGTGCATGCTCATGCAGATGTGCCCAATGTGTTGCCAAAGTGGGGTTGGGGTGCCCACTCCCAGAATTTTCCTTATGGACCACTGACTAAATGCGGTGGTCCCTCTTGGTAATCTTTGCGCTAATTCTGGAGTGCTCCAGTTTCAGAACCAGCACTGGGGAAATTGATGATAGGGCATGCAGAAATAAGAGGCATTGGATAGTATACCCCTTCACTGGTACTGATTTGCTACTGATTGGCACTTATGCCTTGCCTTGACTTCTTTGAGAGCACTAGATACAAAACAGTGACAGGATCTGCTGTATATCCACTTCAAGTACACTTTAAGCAGTATCTTCGGAGCTGAAAAGTCTTAGGGTGTGTGTAGATGAAAGAAGGGCCCTAAATTGAAGTGGAGGGGGTTAAAAAACACTGCTTCAATTTAGGGCTGATTAAACCCCCGTGTCGTGCACACACCCCACTGACTTACCTGCCTCTGGCAGGGAAGGGAAGGCGAGCTGCTGGCAGGCAGAATAGTACTTGGGCTGTGGGGGGCACCTGGTGTTTCCCTCTGCGGCAGCAGTGGGCCCCCCCAGGCGGCATCCAGCTCAGGTAGTCCTGGGGGGCACTGCAGCTGTGGAGGGAAGCACTGGGCCCCCCCACAGTTCAGGCAGGCTCCAGGCGGGACTGGGGAAGAGATCAGGCTCCCTGCTTGTCTTGGGCAGAGCCTGCTTTCCTGGGCTTCTGCCAGGCTGCCTGCAGCACTTCCTACAGAGCCGTGGAGCTGCACGGAGCCCAGTGCTTTGCTCTGCACCTGTAGGGGCAGCAACCTAAAACTCCTCGAAGGAGTTTTAATTTGCTGCGCCCCAAGTCATTTAAGGCACATTACGCCACCGAATTTCCTACAGCAGCTGGAGTTAATGCGCAATATGCTGCCAAGGCGTGCAAACACCGATGCCATTAAAGCAGTGCAAAAGCATTTAACCTGCTTTAAAGTGCCGTGTACACATGCCCCTTGTTTCGTCTACACATAGCCTTAAGTTTTTAACCCAGCTACATTTCTGTACCTCCCAAGAGCCAAGCAAGGTTCTTTGAGTAGATGTGATATCTTTTACTAGACCAACTGAGTAGTTGGAAAAAAATGTTCCTAGCAGACTTTTGGGCGCAATCGCCCTTCTTCAGGCATAGGGACTCTCAGTGATTGCGCTCAAAAGCCTGCTAAGTACTTTTTTCTAACTAAGTTGGTCTGATAAAAGATATCGCATAAGCTCAAAGAACCTTGCCTGCCTATGTCCTAAGACCAACACAGCTACAGCCCGCAGCCCTCCCAAGAGCCAAAACGTAAGTGAATGGGCAAGATTAATTGGGCAAGGATTCTCTTCCCTCTGTATTCACTTTTATCTATTCTTATCATAAATATATTTTGGCAAATTCCACAGCGGGAAACTGTAAGGCAGTGGGAACAGAATTTTCATTTTTTCACTGTAAGGCACGCTGTGCCTCAGTTTCCCCACCTGATGACAATATAATCATAATTACATTGCCAGAGTGCTGAAATTAGTTGCTGTTTGACATATTGATGCCGATTGTCATATTAGCAAACCAGAGAATTAATGTAATTAGCATTTTCCCACATGTAACACAAAATGGTAGAAGTGAAATGTACAATTTGACTCTTTTAAAAAAAAAAGAGTTGTTTTGTAAAGCTTACTTTCTTGAAGGTGCTATAGTACTTGTACTCTGAGGTAGTTTCTCAAATAGTTTCTTTGCAATAGCACAGTCTAAATAGTTTCTTTGCAATAGCACAGTCTAAGAAGACAGTCCTTCATTGAATCCATGTGAAGGGATCATCTGCTTACGGTCTCAGAAGCCCACTGGGGTGCTGTATGGGCAAGTCAATGATAACTGAATAGTAAGCCTTCAGCAGGACCCCAAAAAGTTTTGTAATTAAATGGGAAGGAACAAAAGTCTATTTTATGTTCATAAGGAAAAATGTGTATAGCACACCTGTGGGCTGACGTAAGAAAAATATCAAAACTAACCAACCCATAAACCCTTGTGGTATTTTTAGTTATAGTGCAAGGACTGACTTTAAGGCTCAGATTTGTGTCTTTATTCACATAGTCTACCACAAACTTTATAGAGTTCTTGCCACACAATCTTTTCCCCAAAGTCCCTTCCCTCCCTGCCTGTTTTTTCTGGCTTTTTTGGGTGTCAAGAACTCTTCGTAGTCTTAAACTCAGACAAGGTGTTCTGCGGACACTTTCATTTATCACCTCCGGGGTTGCTACCAGATAGGTTCTGACCAGAGCTAAGCAGCCCTAAAAAGGGGCTAAAAAGAAGGCACGTGTTTCTGTCCTTGTCAGAGTCCTTCCTTGGGTGGATGATACCTGTGTTGTCTTCTGGATTACTTACTGAACCCTCCCGGATATGCTGCTATTGATGGCAGACCTTGTACTTGCTGCCTCTCTTAATGAAGCATCTTATATTTAAAGGAGTTGAGATATTTAAGCCCTGACAGCTATTGATACTTAAAAGTATCATCTTGTCTTATAAAGTGAGTTTCAGTTCCTACTAAATAGGTACCGTTACTAGGGACCCTGCATAATTAAGCCATGTCTGGTTTTATAATCCTGTTCCTCTTTGGAACGTGGACATTAAATGAAATGGATATTAAAACATTTCCCTGAAATGAGTTTAAATGAAGCCAAGCTTGGAAACTTGAAAAGTTGGTAAAAACTACATACAAATTAGAATAGAAATAGAGATGAGAGAGACTGCTTTGTCAGTTTTATTTTATATTGAATAGAGAATTCAACTTGTGAACATCAGCTTAGTCCAAGCATGGCAAGATCTTAGGAAACTTGAATTTTAAGTGGTGCATAGGTGGTGACTTAGAAACTGTGTCATGTCTACTTTTACCTTCTGAAGCCCACTAACAGCCTGCTGTAATTTCTTCTTCATAGGTTGTCTAACTTACTTATACATAGACTTTAGGATTATGTCAGCGGGCCATGAGTGGATCAATATTATACACCAGTGCCACGTTGCTTTTTGCTAAGAGAGTACTAAGCCCTGAGATGATGATGGATAGGGTTTACTAATTTTTTTTGGTGTTAAAAATATTGTGGTTTCTACCCCACTAGCAAGAATTGAAATTCTTCTGTTTCTGTTGTTTTAGGTTCTGCCTTTTATCTATCGTGCCATTGGTTCAAAGCATCTTCCTGCCAGTAACATCAGCTTTGTTCATTTTGACTCCCATCCCGACCTCCTTATTCCTGTAAATATGCCAGCAGATACTGTCTTTGACAAAGAAGCTCTGTTTAGGTAATGTATATGTTCTTCCTCCGAATGTCTAAGTACCATCTTATTTACACAGAAGATAGGTAGAAATGCTTGCAGAATACATTTAAATGTGTGATAGGAGTCAGCCCTAAAGCACTCTTTTAACCTTTTTACTCATACTTGTAACTGTTTATACACAAAGGATGCTTATTGAAAAATAATACTTGCAGTTTATTTATGTACCTTTCCCATATATGGAATATATTCATGGAACTGACAGCTCTTTACAAACAGGAGACAGTAAGTAATGTAATTAATCATCTATTTTCCCTCCATTGATTTCCAGTGAGCTCAGTATTGAGAACTGGATTATGCCTGTTGTTTATGCTGGCCATATTTCTCAAGTGGTATGGCTCCATCCAATCTGGGCTCAGCAAATCAAAGAAGGAAGACATGATTTTGTAGTTGGTAAAGACGCATCTACCACCACAATAAGGTAATGTATCCATTCACTTTAGCTAACAATATAAAAATTACTTGGAAAGTTTCCCATACACACATACATACATCAAGTTGAGGATAAACCCCTATGTCCCAATAATAAGTTCTGTACCTGAGGTCTGCTGTAGCTTGCAACCCAATAACTGCAGTTTGGAGCAGAAGTAACTGTTGATGGTCATGTGTACTATATGGTTTGCCACTCCAGAGGTGATTTAAGAGCAATGGAGGTTGTGCGGAAAATTTCAGCTGAAGTCATTGTCAGAAATGGGTTGAGGCTGTGCCAACCCCTCTCATTCTCTTTAGGAACTTGTTGATTGTGGCTGTCACTTGGAAAGGAGTCTCTTATCCTCTTGCACATTTTTCATATCTAAAATTAAAGCAGTCAGAATGTCTGTACTGATTTCTCCATCCTAGCAGGAGAGTTCACCCTTTTATTACCCTATGCCTCTGGCTCTGTTAGCCACAGAAGTATATTCAGAACGTAAATCCAGGGTGCCCTTTCTTCTTCCCTAAACTGAGGAGGCAGAAACTGTATTTGCTAGTCTTAAGCGAACCTTTGAGCCTAGGGATACACAGGGTGAGATTACACATTAGAATTAGCAAATGCTACTTGTAAGGGATGTTAGTCTGTGTTAAGGTTAACTAGTGCTAGGGATCAATCACAATTTTTTGGTGTTAATACATTCTCTAATGTGTGCTGCCCAGACCTGCCACTAGAGGGCTGGTGAGCAGGGGTGTGACTAGGAGCTGAAAGTCTGCTGCATGCCTGCCCTACTCAATGGCTCTCTAGCCATGGTATAGGCCTGGGGGGTGGTCTCTCCATACCACTTAAATCACTCCCTTCTCCCCCCAAATCACACTGCTACTCCCCCATCAGCTGCCAGATTCCCCTGCCCCCCCCCACACCCAGATCATTCCCCCAACCCTATGGTTGATGCTTCACCACAGGATCACTGTCCTGCCACCCCAATGAGCCCAAGAGCAGTGAGAGGTTGAGGTATGCGAGTTCCCCTCCTTGTCTGCTCCTGGGATCTCTGGAGCCCATGTTGCCCCCATGCGCCCAGATTCATCTCCACCAGGCCTTACAGTTTCCTGGCCATACCCAACTAACCAAGTTATCTCTTCTGTAACCCCCTTCCTCTGGGAGCAGGCAGGGCTGATTTGTTCATTGCAATTGGTTAACCCTTTTTCCAGCCTGTGCCGAGTTAGTACATCCTAGCAAAGCACCTGGAGACAAATGGTAGGCGCCAAGTGGGCTTTTCAAAAGCATCTTAACAAGCTGGGTGCCTAGCTCCCATTGACTTCTAAGCTACTTAAGGAATTAACCTGCTTAGATTCTTTTTAAATGTCTTTAGGCATTAAAGCCCTCATGGCTAGGGATCTCTGGAATTCATGCTGGAAGTGCATTGCGTGGTGGCTTCTTTAATCTAGGCGTATTCTCCACACAAACATCTGCTGCTGATTGGCAGAGGGTCCCTGTCACTCACCACCTGTACCTGATGGCCAGGAGGCAAAAACCACAGCATATTTTAAACTACAGTTTTTGCCTCCCAGCCATCAGGCACTGGTAGCAAGCGACAGGGCCCTTCCACCAGTCAGTGCGGGGGAAACTCCAAGATTAAAATAAGTGCCATACTTCTGGCGTGAATTCCGGAGATCCCTACTCATGATATCCAAGTTTCTCAGATTAATAGATATCATCTTTTCCCACCCAGTTTGCATTTATAGGCAGGAAAAGGAAAGCAATCATTCTTATTTATCAACTTCTAGTGATTGGAAAATATATTTTCTCTGCACCCACTTACAAAACTGAAACCAGAAGTAAAAGTTTTTCTGCATAACAGAAATCACAGTTATAGTTGGGTACAAAGTGAAGATCAGCATTAGTTCTTCGAAAATAACATTGAAAGAGATTTAACACAGTGCATTGTACCTTTTAGAAAGCTTAAGTTGTCTTCAGTAGTTAAAGGTGTTTTTCCCTTAGTTCTGTAGAAAATCTCAAAATCATCTTTTATTCATTATAGAGGGGTCATTCATGTAACACTTTTTTTTTTTTTTTAATTATTTAAATGATTTTATAGTAAATTTAGGCCTTAACATAGCTCCCATTTTGGAAGGTGAGGTATTTCTGCAAGAGAAAAATGTATAGAGTTGCAAACATTTTATTTAAATAAAAATTTGAACATTATTTTATTTTTGCTACTTTAATCATTGTTTTCTGTCTCCTCCTATTCCTATCCCCCTCCTAGTTTTGAGTAGAGCTGGAACTAGACTCAGCGTCAAGATGCCTGACAGCTCTTTCTAACTATACTGCTGATCTTCTTTATAACGTAGACCTTCAGGGGTGTCAAATGCAAGGTCCACAGTCAGATCCAGCCTGTGAAGCCATATGATCCTGCCCATGGGTCTTGGACTGAACCTTCACACTGCATGGTCCATATTGGGCCACACTGGAGCTAGTGCACAGGGCTGGCTCAGTGAGATACCACTTGCAGCAGACACTCTGCCAGCCCCTGTGTTATGCACAGCTGGTCTAGCCCCACACACCCCAGTAAATTCCAAAATTTAAACCATTCACAGCTCTACATTCGTATAGTATGCCATCCTGTTGTCATGATTTACTTAGCTTATTTGAATTTTCTTTATGATATAATGAATAGCAAATTATATTTTAATATTACATAAGGAAGAATCATTCTGTTACCAGCTGTAATTTTGTATGGGCTTTTCATATATGCTTAGTATATGACTTAGTGAAAAACAAGACATTACAGTAGAAGAACAATCTAGTTTAAATTGAATACATGAGGATCTTGTATGGGTACCATGTGCATATTCTGCAAGCCATTTCACACATCCACTTGGCTTACCCAGAGTCACTTACTATAAAGGCTCTTACAGTCTTGATTCTAATCTCTTTGGAAGGTCATACATTAAATGGGACCTATTCTCCATTCCAGGGTTACAAGTACAGATCATTACTTTCTAAGTGATGGTCTTTATGTTCCTGCTGATCAGCTAGAAAACCAGAAGCTTTTACATTTGAATGTCCTTCTAGTTAAGCCCTCTGAAACATCCAAACAACAAGACGACAAAAATGAAGCATCTTCTGCTAAGAAACTGAAGTTAAATGCAGAAGATACAGCAAACACTGCTACTCCCACTTCATCACAAGTACTGGAAATTGTTGGTCATTACTTAACAGATGCAAAGGCTCCTGGAGATGAAAAGAATGCATGTGCACAAGATAAAACAGAAACTTTCTTAGAGTCCTCAGCTTCCTGCTCTCTTGGAAGCAATGGATGTAAACCTATAGAGATGGTTAATGATGTTCTTCAAGTAGTACAGAAAGGAGATGCATACGTTTTAGATATTGACTTAGATTTTTTTTCCGTTAAGAATCCATTCAAAGACTCATACACCCAGGTAAACATGTAAACGTGCAGTCCTGCTTCCCTTCATAAAAAAATATTTGCAGTCTCTCTTACCTTTATTAATAGTTGGCAGCCAAATATTTTTTTAGTGTAGAAATTACCATATTGTCCTAACCTACTCTATATAAACTAAACTTAGATGGTGAGGTAAATATTTAGATGGGGGAGGTGTGAGCAACGAGAGCTTTTAGTGAAATCTTTTATTGGGCTAGCTGCATATTTGGAGGAAATGTTGGACAAATTTGCAAGCAAAAACTGCCCTTCTTCAGGCAATTTTTGCACCCAAAAGCTTATCTAGCATTTCTTCCAGCTATACAGTTGGCCCAATAAAAGATACCAGCAGAAAATTCTTACTTCTATTAAAAGGAGTTATATGGGACCTGGTGGATGCATCTATACAAGATGTTTTCTGAGCAGTAGGCTAATTAACTGCACAGTAAACATCATACATCTACATGCGCACCCCTGTTAGGCTGGAGTAAACAAATTTATTCCACAGCAGGGATAGTACTTATAAACTGTAAATCTCTCATGTTTTAAAATAGTAAAATATCTTGTATATATACATAGTAAGTAAGTTAAAAACTCTGCAAGATCACACATGTAGCACGCTGAGATATGAAAGTGCTTCAGGGGGTTGCCTGCTGGCTAGCCTGTCACTGAAGCAGCCTCATGCTCCAGCCAGCCCCTCTGCAGCATGTTGAGCTAGGGGGTGTTAAGCAGGTACATAATCTCATCCCTGATCAAGCATGCACATAAATACATAGTTTTAAGGATGGGATTAAGTCCTGTCAAAGTAAGTTTGAAGTTTAGCATGTGATTAAATGCCTAGTTGAATTGAGGCTGGTCACTGTTTTCTGAAGTAGATAAAACCTTCTGAAGCCACCCTTTTCTCCCATGTATATTTACAACAAGATTTCTGAAATACTGTGAGGATGGGGGTCTGTCATTGTAACATCAGTCATAAAAATAATTTTCCTGGGGATGCAAGAATCTGAAAACATTCTTCCTCTATATATTCAGTTCAATACATTGTATTTTGGATATGAAGGCACTAAAATACTCTTCCCTTTTTTTTTTTAAGGAAGAATACAAGATCTTGCAAGAGCTGTACAGTTTTAAGAAGCCGAATACCAATTCCACAGAGGTATGGCATTTCCTTTTAGAGTGGGTGAGAAAAGTGAAGAAATGATCATTTTTGTTTAACTTCTAATGATCAGGAGCTGTGACAATGAGAGAGACATGAGACACAGCTGCAAAAGATGCATAATTGCTGGTCTCCAATTAAGCTGTATATCATGTTGGATAGTAATTTGTAGTGCCTTAGGAAAGCTTTCTAAGTAAACATTATTACTTGATTTTGTGAAGAGTGTGAGGAGTTAGCTTGGGTATGAAATCTAATTTGCGTAAACAAACTGCTAATTTACAAAAGTGAAGCCAAAACATAACACATAGTCTAGGATATTTTATTTTGTTTTTCTTTTTTTGTTCCTACTTTTATTTTTCAGCTAGAGATGTAGTAAATACTCTGTTAGTATTCCAGTTATTATTTGTTGCTATTAATTTATAATAATTTTATAGATTTAATGTATAATAATATTATGTATACTTTATTGCTATCTTTTAATACCTAGAAGTGTCTATATAATCTAATATCTGTACGTGTGTTCTTTCACAGGAGGACTTGTTAGACTGTGTTGAAAATCGTATCCATCAGTTAGAAGATCTGGAAGCAGCTTTTGCAGATTTGTGTGACAAAGATGATGAGGAGACTCTGCAAAAATGGGCCTCATATCCTGGGTAAGGGATCTGGTTCAGCTCAGTCGTTTTTGTAAAAGCAGCATCGTGAGTCGACTATAATATGTTCAACAGGAAAGTGTTTTTCATTGCAGTACCATTTGTGAAACATGGGGTGGTTTTATCCATTTTGCTAAAAGAATCAGCTGTAAAACTAGCAGAGTAGTAACATCATGGTTGGCCTTTTTTTTTGCCTCCCTCAGTTCTAGTCCATTCCACGCTATTTGCTTCTGTAGACTTTTCCTCCTATAGAGATCTTTTTGCCTCTAACTCCTGACACTGGGTTATTTTGAAACCTCTCCTGAAATCTACTTGCATAGTAGCCTTCTTTCCACACCACTTCTTTCAACTTGATTTTACATCTCTGCTGGCCCATCTTGAACCCTTCTAGCATGGCTTCTGCAGCAACTGTGAGGACAAGGGCTGCCTAAAAAGTATCAGTTCTTATAAGGGTGGGAAATTACTTTTTGTCCAAAAAAAAAAAAATAGGGAACACCCAAAACCCCTACAGATTTTTCACTTGGCAGTGCTCCTAGGGCATCTCAGACTTGTATGCTGGACACTTCTTGTCTCTACTCACTGTTGTGATTAGGGTTTCTCCACCAGGTAATGTCTACCATAATTCACTGCATTTGGGTCAGCAAGAGTCAGACTGTGCTGCATCATGTGTGATGTCATCTGGGCTTGGAATGAGCTCCATAGAGGAGAATGTGAAATCATGATGTATCTGAGTAAAAAATTACATGGAGCACTATGGCAACACCCCCTATGCCCTTTTTTTTTAAACAGTAAATTTTTGGGGAACTTTTTTCAGTCGGTATGTCAGCTTCTTCTCAGATGAATGGGAAGAATGTCCATTTTCCCCCACTATGTATGGCAACAGTGCTGACCAAATGAATCCTGCGGCATCTCAGTAGTAATGTCTGCTAAGACTTCATTTGAGTTAATGCTATATCTCAGGTCCCTGACAAGCAGTGCACTTACGACACGATTAACCAGTTAATCATGTCTTAAGCAGCAACTTGGCCATACGTTCAGATAATTAATGGTGTGATAGAACAAGGAATAAGCCATAGCATTATTACACAAAATATGTGGAATAACTTTGTGGTTGGTTTGTATCCCACTTTTAAATTGAACATGTGGTCACACCCAGCCTCAGAAATTCACAAGAGCCTGAATCAGCTGACTGGTGTACTGCGGCGCAGAAGGACTGAGCTCCCACTTTGTTACTTGCTGGTGCAGGGAGACCCTGATCCCAGGCTCCTCCTTCACCAGCAAAAGGGCACGATTGGGATCTGATCTCTCATCTTCCAATAGCACCTCCTGCCATGCTTATATGTTATAACTGGAGGCATGATTGTTGGGATTGCATATCTGATCCCATTGCACATGTAGTTGACTGCCTGCCAGGGATCTCTATAACATCTTGAATGCCGGGAATCAAGTTGTAACATCTTGAATTTCCATTCAGCTGCCTAAAAAAATTGAAAGGAGATAGTTCCAAGCATTGTTCTGTTCCCAAAATCCCATGAAACCCAGACAGAGTCTCTCACAAGGAGCCTGGATCTCATGGGGCTAATGCTCTTGCTCTTTTACAGAAGCAGGTTCAGAAACTGAGCTTGGAACTTGAAACATGCTAGTAGCAACGTGTTATTTTCTCTCCTTTGCCTTTATTTGTCAAAATCTGTGTTAGATGCATGTACTTCTTTTTATGTAAAAGTAACTACTTTGTTTTTTATCCTAGAATGAAACCCCTGGTTCAACTTGTGCATAGTTTGAAAAACCGAATGGATACTCCCGACTATGAAATGGTAATAGAGAGTTACTTAGCTGTGTTAGTCTGAAGTCAGGGAGAAGGCAGGATGGATTTGCACCTTGTATACATCTGATTTAATTAGTCTAACATAAGCTTTTGTGAGCTGGAGCTTACTTCATCAGATGCTGTGAAAGGATATACACAGAGCAGTGTATAAGGTGGAGACAGTATTACATGCTTTGTGCATGTCCTTCACAGCATCTGATGAATAAGCTCAAGCATAAAAGCTTATGCTATATACTTCTGATTTAGTTAGTCTATAACAGTGGTCAGCAATGTTTTTGGACAGAGGGCCAAAAACACCCACAACCTCGACTTGTAAGAAGTTGGTGTGCTATGGGTAGACAGTGGGGGAGCCATGAGGGACCTGATCCTTGTTGTGGCAGCACAGCCCCAACCCCTTCCCCAAGGCATGCATGCCAGGCAAAATGCCTTGGTCTATAAGGTGCAAAATTGATGTTGCCTTCGGTGTGATATGGTAAGCCATTAATAGTAAGGACTGTATATAAATAGCCTGCAGAAATCTGTTTTCAACAGGGCAAAATACTGAATTCTTTTTTACTTTACTTCTTGAAACCATAAGGGTTTAGGAGTGTTTCAATATTTGTACTTCAGAGAATTTTCAGAACTGGGCTTCTTTAGTTAGGTCCTGTTGTCTGTACTTAGGTACCTTTAATGGTGGTCTAGTTTTTCAGGGGTACGGTGATCCAGCTGCTCCCATTGCTGTGGTCCATCTACCACAAATCAATTGGATTTGTGGAGAATGTCTTCAGAGTCTAAATTTAGGTACCTGTTCCTTGATCTGATAGATTTTTGGACTACCTGAAGCCCCCAAAAGTAGTAGCTGGCCAAGTAACATTTCTTTGCAAATCATATCATTCACTTTTAGAGTGGTGAAGTCCTTCTGTCAAATTAATCTTCTAGGTTCATCAGGCTGGTCTTACCTGTGACTATTCTGAACTTCCCCACCACGTTAGCACGGAAAAGGAGATAGAGGGCCTCATGCAATCTGTTAAGCATCTTCTGAAAAACATACCCAAACCTACACTTGTGACAGTTGCTCGGTAAGAATATGTTTATTTTTATGCTAAACACTTAGGCAATAGCTGCACTGTCAAAGGATGAGGTGATGATAGCATATCCGTCCACCTGCCTAATGAAGGAAACGGAATTCCCTGAACTGCGTTAGGGGTCAGTAAAGTTGCACCATTGGAGTGAAAATACAGAACCACATATTTGGGTCCTAGCTTGGGAATAAAAAAGTCTCTGACTACCATCTGATTTTTAAGTGGTGTTTTTTTCTGTTTTTAATTCAGTAAACAGGGGATGTAAACCAGGAGTGTCAAACTCACTCTGCTCCCTGTGCTGGATCTGGACCATGGCACTCCTCACAGTTTAGATCCAGATGTGGTAGGAAGGCTAGTGATGGTGCCAAAGTAAGCAAGGGCAGTGAAGATTAACACACACATCACTTGCCTATCAGGGCTGTGTCTCCCACTTGCCCCATGCCCAGATCTTTGGTCCTCTGCCCTTGGACCACATGACATAGCTCTGAACTGGATCCAGCCCACAAGCCTGAAGTTGAGTGTTCCAATATAAATAATTAAAAATCTTAGGGAACAAGTATCAGTAGTATCTACTTGCTACCTATTTTACTGGGTAGCAATTAGATCAAGTTAACCATATAGTAAAAATTAGGTTTTCCAGTCTAACTTGTCATCAGATATTTACCAGAGGTGCCTGATCTTTAACTTTGGGCATGAACAACAATGACAATTACAGTGGTGGGGAGAGAGCGGAAACATCACAAATGCCAAGGTGACCCCACCAAATCTTTTAGAGAATTACCACTAACAGAATCAAGGGTAAAACTTCAGCACTGCAAGTGATACTGGTTTAGGTTTTGTCTGTACATGTCCATTCTAGAGTAGCCATTGACCAAAAGCAAACAGTCTACTACCTGCCACCTAATGGTGAGGCCCTATAATAGCTACCTAGTATTTGAGCTACCCTGAGTACCTGCACATTGATGATTCCTGATCCTAGTAAAACTTACATCAATATACAGAACCAGTGTAAAGTATACCGAGGTATATGTATTTCTCTCTAGGCCTTTGACTAGAATGATAACATGGAACAGACACAGTAGTGGCATGAGATGCCAGAGTACCTACAAGCTTAGATACCATAATAACAAGTACAGTATAGTAATTGAAGTGAAATGAAATAGGTCATGTTTCTGGTTTTGCCGCAGCTTTACTTTTTGACATAAACCTGTTTGCACTGAAATGTCACAGGCTTGAAAATGGTAATACTGTGGGGGTATTTGTTGAAAGGATACAAGGAGGCTAAACTCAGTTTGTTAAAGTTCTTTGAGATCCTTGAATATAACGGACTATGCAGGAGCAAAATATATATACAACAGTCTGTAGTGTTTTTTATTTACATTCATTTGACTGTCTAAAAATCACTGTTACAGATCAAGTTTGGATGACTATTGTCCTTCAGAGCAAGTAGACTTCATTCAAGAAAACGTTCTGAATGTTCTAAGTTCAGTGTATGGTGTTCTGGACATTCATTTAGAATATGCAGCAGATTCATCTTCTGTGTGAATGGACTCTCCATACCTTCCTCTAACTCGGCAGCATTACGTACACAATTCAGATATTCCCATTAGATTGCTATGCTGTGGAAATATCTTGTACTGAAAGCAGTCCCATGTCCTTTGCCCCCAGAACAACTTCCATCTAAGCAGGAATTGATTATACACAATTTCACAGTAAGGAGGTTCCAATATTTTTATGTATATCGCTCACTGACATTTGCTATCTGGATTATTTAACCCACCAAAACCAATATATTTTTGAGTCTTATATTAGATATATTTGAAATGTGGGGGGGGGACTTTTTATATTACAGCAGATGGCACTAGAAACCAAGATAGTAAAGAGAGTTAAATTTTAAGCGCACCCTGTCTTTGTTGCATTGATTTCTTAGGAAGCTGTAAGTGAAATGTCATCTGCTTTTGTTCTGGTCACTGATGAGACTTTGTTTTTTGGCTCCAAATTAAATATGGTACATATTTTACTAGACTGCTTTTTAAAATCTAGTATTATGAGGAGAAACGATTATGTTTAATCCACAAAGGCTGTGACAGAATTAGACGCACATTTGAAACACCTATGGAAAGTTAGCTTGCTTTTCCTTTTTTTTTTTAAATAAATTGATTTCCCATATGTTAGTAAAGTGTGGGATGAAAGGTAATAGAAATTTGTTAAACCCGTAACTGAAACCAGTATCATGATGCGTTAACTACAATTGCCAGTAGTGCCACTGTTTGCTCACTCGGTGACTTTTGCTCCTTCCCTGTGCTGGAGATAATCACTTTTCCATTTTACCTATGTAGCCTGCCTTCTATTGAATTTTACAATAACTTAATCCCCTTATTCCTCAAGGCACTTTATTTTCAACCAATGCAGCATCTCAGAAATGCAGCCATATCTATAGAGGACAGTTGCAGTCAGTTAGTAAAGGTGAGAGAAAGGGGAAACTTTGATCAGGGATTTTGTGATAGCCACTGCTGCAACAGTGTTATGAAATTCCAGCATCTACAAAAAAGCTTATTTTTTTTTAAGATTTCATCTTACTCTATTTTTCCTTTGGAAGCAGGCATCTTATACAAATGTGTTTTAGTACCCATTACATTTAGGGGTGGGGGAGCATGAAATTTTGGCCTCATTGAACTCAGTTGCAAAATATACGTTGCCAAAATTTTACCAACGTATGCTGATATTCATACTTATAGGACAAAGACCGTCTCTAGCCACATGTGTACTCATTTCCATACCTAGCCAGAAAAAGTGTCATTTTCACAACAATTTATAATTAACTGGTTAGTAATGCAAGAGGAAATGGCCATCTCCAGAATGAAAAAGAGACCAGGCTTCATCTGGGACTGATATGGAAAAGGGGAAGTGAGAAGGAGAAGACAACCACTGGAATATATATATGAAGATTTTTGTGAATAAATATTGTTTGTGGTGTTTTGAAAGAGACTTGGTGTTATTTATTGGCAATTTCACTTGTTCTTCAGATTCTTCAATAGCCATTTTTAACTATTATTTCTGCTGTTACTTATAATAAATTATGCCTTAAGTGATGGATAGTTTCTAACACATTGTATTTAATCTAATCCAAGGTTTTATTTTCCCCCCAGTTCAACATTGTGAGGGGTTGGGGGTGGTGAGAAGCCTTATCCTGGACTCAGAATACCAGCCCCAGTTTTGGTCCTGGCTCCAAACTGGAAATGAGCCATCACCCACTCTGAGTTGGGATGACTTGTGCTGTCAAGGAGGGAGTGCATGGTGTTGGAAGCGGAGGGGAGACCACATGGTTTGGTGGGGAGGGTAGGAGGGGAGAGCACAGGGCAGACCCGTGGTTTGTGGCTCCTAAGGAGCATGGAGGACACCACATGGCCTGCATACTTAATTTATAAGTACTTAATTTATATTTGCAAACTTTTATTTGCAATCATGATGGCTAGGTTTGGTTACAGCAGGTTAGAATTCAAGTTAACAAAGCTGCTCTGAGCCACCCAGTCACTACCCACTTCACCTCTGCTAAGCAGGAATTCTTGGGTTGGAGGAGAGGGGTTGGGTTTTGGTCCACCTGGAAATGTCTACAGTCCCCATCCAAAGGTTTTCCTATTAGACTATATTCTAACCCCAGTGAAGGTGCTCTCCAGGTCCTCCTTGTGTTGGCTCCCAGACGTTCAAGGAAGTTCAGCTCAAGTCTTCTGGATAGATGCATTTAAATGCAGCATCTAAGGAGTGATTCCCAACTGGAATACAGCATAATTGTGGAGTGTTGGGGGCTCCTGATGCTGCCCCCACACTGAGCAGTGTACTCTGGCATAGATCCCACAAAGCTCTGCACTTTCTGCTATCTCCCAAAGGGAAGGGGAAGGGATAGAGGGTGCCTCAGTGATAGCCTGGCTGGGAACAAAGCTGCAGCCCAGCCAGGATGGGACTACAGGTCAGCTCACAGATGTAGCATGGACCACTACTGCCACAATGGTAGTAGCATCAAGCTCTAATGTTAAAGTCTCTGTCGATGATTAGCAGCCTGCCCATCACTGACAGCTTGCCTGGTGGTCTCCTTTCCCCAGCAAGGGAGAGGACCAGGGTGCCATTGTTCGGAAGATCTTGTCAAAAAGCCTGATCAGAGGAGCAGCTCCATATGCTGGCTGGAAAACATACTTCTCAAGCAACTTTGTGCTGTAGTTGTAGACACCCATGCTACTGCTGTTTTTGCAACACTGCAAAGTGTTGCATGACTGTCCATGGCACAAGTGTTTTTCTGGTGTCATGTCAAACAGTAATGCTATCCAGGTGGAACTAAACTCTAGATTTATTATTAAGTATCACAGCAATCATTCTTTGAAAAGTTCTGGGAGAGAACTTTGGAAAGTTTACCTCACTAACTTTACTTAGTGACATGCATGATGTAGACCCAAAATGGAAAACATCTTAGTTCCACAGGCTTCTTTAAATGTGTCCTCTATACATGGACATAGGTGCCTGTCCATCATTAAGGTTTAATATAGCTCTCCCTTGGGTCCAAGCAGAGACAGATACTTCCAGTCTCCTTTTACAGTTGGTTAAACCATGCATAAGATTTAAATTCTTCAGTAATTTTATTCTGCACCCATTTTAATATCTTGTGATGCAGCACCTCTCACAAAAATTTGTAAGTAGTGTAATTACTGTTGTTGAGATGTCACATTTAGTGAGTTTTAATGTTATGACTTAAGCCAAGTGTTTCCACTGTACTATCTTTCATAGTACCAGAATTCAGGGTTTGTGTTACAGTTAGGCAGTGCTAGAGAAATGCCTCTTTTAATCATGTCCATGTTTAATACAGCAAACAGATCTGTGCTTAGGGTAGGAATACCTCTGGGCAGAATATAGGAACAGAAAGTATGCAATAGATAGCAAAGTCCTATTTGCCAGAAAGTAACCAAGATCAGGAATTCAGTCCATCCAACAGCTTGCTAGCTATAATCTTTGGTAAGTGTCCTAGGGACTCAGATAATGTCAAGGCTGTTAAGTCAGTGCACTGGTATATATTCCATCTACCAATAGCTCAGTTTCCCTCAAGGCATCCAATATAGTTGTCCCTTTCAAAATCCTTTGACTTTTCCTTACTTACTTGATGGCACAAAGAATGGTCAGCACAATCACCAATGAATCGCCAAATCGTCTCTGACCCTACAGTCAACCAGGATTTAACTGGCCATGCTGTTATCGGGCGCTTCTCAACTAGTTTCAAACTGGACAGGGTCACTGTGTCTCAAGCCTATACCAATGGGGCCTTTGCAATAACAACAAATGCCCTTATGGACAAGCAGTCTCTTCAATGTCTCCAACCAGTTTGGCATGGGCAAGTCCACAGCTGGAGAGGCCACTCAAAAGTTGTGTCTGGTAATCCAGAACAGCCTGGACAACTTTCATTCACCTCATCAACCTGCAGGAGGTGGTTACTGGCTTCTGCTGCATAGGCTTCCCCATGGATGGCACCCACATCCCTATCCTCTGCCTGCCCAATGGTGCCCAGCCATTCATCAACCACAAGGACTACTTTTTCATTGTCCTGCAAGACACAGGTGACCAGCAGGGCCACTTCACCCTGGCTAGGTGGAAGCACCCATGATGTCTTCCACAAATCCCTGCTCCCTGAGATGATGGAGAACAGGCGGGCGTTACACTCCTAGGGTTCCCCAATTTCATCATTGGTGCTGTCATCATCCCTCCCCTCATCTTTGGGAACCTGGCTAACCCACTTTTGCCCTGGCTGATGAAGTCCTATGGGGGAAACAGGACTGCCAGAAGGAATGCTTCAACTGCTGCCTGAGCAGGTACCACATGACAATGGAGTGCACCTTCAACCGCCTCAAGGTGCACTGGCAGACTCTCAGCATTCACCTCCTATTGAATGATGCCCATGGCAGAACTTGGTCCCTCTTCACATTGGCACAAACCAGCAAACCTTTGGAAAGGGAGTGGTTGGGGGAGGTTTGTAGAAGGAGTGAAATAACCTGGAAAGGGTGGTTAGGACAGGGAAGGGGGAAGCAATTGAGGTCAGGGGGAATGCTGCAGGGGTTGAACTCAACAAACGCAAAACCTTGGAGGGAAGGTACAGGGTAGGGGGATTTAGCGTTGGCACACTAACTCCTGGATTTAGGAGTGAAGATCAGGGGTTTCTCTGTGTAGGAGCTGGATAGTTGAGTGATCCTAGACCCAATGTCCATCTGAGAGAGCTCCGGGTCCAGGGGAAAGCATTGTCACAGTGAGGGCCATGGATTCATGGCTCTTCTTCACAGGACCCAGCCCCAGCCCCTACCCCTGGGACCCAGTTTCCCCTTCCAGGGACCCCAGCCCTGCAACACTTGGCCAAGCCTGGGGCCCATGTCACTCAGCAGGACTGAGCCCAGGGGCTGCCTACTCCCACCAAGTCTGTGCTGCTCCCCTGCAGAAGGACCTGGGCCAGGAGAGGGGTTGCAGAGAGCAGAAGAGCTCTCCCCTGGCTCCCCACCTGGGAGGTGGAAGAGCTGGGGTCAACAGGCTCTGGTACCACCTGTGGTCCCAACAAAAGCCTAGCTGGGTGGGCTGGTGGGCTATGCTCTCCTCCCAGTTTTGAGTACTCCTGCACCCCTCCAGGACTGTCCTGGAACCACTTGGGGGGCCTGCATACACAGAAAGACTACCAAGGCTGGGGTGGGGGAGAGTGGGGGGCACAGATTGGCTCTGGGAGGTTGGCAGTGTCCCTGACAGCCCTGGTCCTCCAGGCACTCTGGTCCTGCTCCCCTTGCCTGTTGGAGTGGGTCCTTTCTGGTTGCCTGGGGC